AAGGCAAAAGTTGAGGGCCTTAACGCCAGCAGAGTCACTGACACTAGAGCCAAGCCAATCGGTGTGATGGGCATTAAAGTCACCAACAACGACGATATTGGCCGATGGATAGAGAGAGAGGGCTTGGTCAATTTGATCAGAAATAACATCAAGAATAGTGCAATCTTGGGATGAAGGAGAGCGATATAGAACAAAGAGAAAGGCGATAGAGTGAAGTTGTGCTAAACGAAAGCACATAAATGAATAGTCTGTAGATTCAAACCTAGTTTCACGACAAATGGGTGAGTTCTTACGAATGTAGATGCCCAGGCCAAGCATGTGATTATTGGAGTCTTTACGAATTAAAGGAAGATAACCATCAACACTAAGATCACAAGATGGGACAGCCGAACTCAAATTAGTCTCACAAAGAGCAAGTAGGTCTGGTGAACTTTGCAAGAGATAAGACTCAACAGAAGAAAAGTTACTTCGAAGACCACGAATATTAGTAAATGATAGGTTTAGAGAACTTGGTGATGGCGATGGTTTTTTGTGTTTTTTAGTTTTAGGTACTTTAGTCATTTTAAATTTATAAAGAACTTGACTCAAGTATAGATAGTACTCAGTACACTATTTAACAACTAAGCAATAGCCTCATTACTATTAATAAACCCTAAGCCGTAACAAAGGGCTCCAAATGTGGCCTCTGCAATGCACACCAAAAGTACAAACAGGGACACCATCCATGCGCAACATGGCACTGTTAGTACTCTGATATTTTTCGGCTGTTGATGGAATCAGCCTCTCTGAGAGCTACCACAGAGTTCGGGAAACCTGACTACCAGCCGGCCTCAGAACCATAAAACTGAGTTTTAGAGCTGTACCCTCATTAGGAGATAATAGAATGAGTTGCCCAGTCATAAAAATAGAGACACAAGCAATACCCACGCATTGAGTCAAGAAGATCCAGCGTTCAACATCCTAAACTGGAAACAATGTATTAAAAATACATCTGCGCCAGCCTAATAGATGAGGTTTTTGTTTTTATTCTTTTAGAAATGTTGTCGTTTTTTTCCAAAAAAGTCACAAGTTTTTAACTTGTAAGTCTAAACATGAAAGTATAACACGTTTTTTTTTTATACTTTCATAATCTAATTAACACCGCAATACTAATGACTAAGGGTGCACTGTTGCATCGGTCTTGGTAACCATCGGCCGATGCCGATTGTTTTGAAAAATGAGTCTTTTTAATTTTGTGTTTCTATATTTTATAAAAAAATATAATTATTATATTTTTTTATACAATATAGAAACAAAAAAATAAAAAAAATTGACTTTTTTAAACAATTGGCATCGGCCGATGCATCGGTGCACCCCTACTAATGACCGCACATACCAGTAGTAAATAATAAATCGGATATTAGTTTTATAGTAAAAATATTTTTTGTTGAAATTTATCGGTCATGTCCGACAAACCAAACAATTTATCGGACAAACTGTCCGGAACAAAAAAGTACGTTATTTCGAGCCCTGTATATATATATACGGGATGAACAATTTGTACAAAATCTTGGGATTTCAGGATCACGAGATCTCGTCATAGTCATCCCTAATCAAAATTGAAAATTGTTTATTTATCCACATCTGCCTAAACAAAAAGCTACCTCCTATATTTTATAAATGATTTACTCTACGCAGTGCAATTAGCTGTCAACTTATAAGAAATTCTTGTAGAGGTGCACTGAGTGTGCTAACATATAACACAAAGTCCTACAGTAAACATTCCTTTAAATGCTCTACATTAATGAACTCGGTATAAAAAGTTTAAAAAAATATTTGGAATTAGACTTAAAAATATATAAAACAATGAACTTACTATAACCCCTATAATACTGTCATGGTATATCTGTTCCACACCGATCATTTCCATACTTTTTCTTTATATTGCAGTTTTATTTTAATAATTTTTATTAAGTGGTTGAAAATAAAAATCTGTCAAATCTTTGTTTTGAGTTAACAACTAATGTTCAATATTTAATAAGGTTTTATTGTATAAATGTAAACTCCTTTAATAAAAAAAGGGATACAGACTTGAAAAATTTTTTTTTAATAAAGTTTCTAAGTTTTCATTAAAATTTTTTCCAGATAATCCGCAGCATATTAGGACCCTCTCAAATTTAATTAATTTTGAAGAAAATAAAAGTTTGAATGTAAAGTTGTCTCTTCGATTTAATGAAAGTTGTCTCTGATGTTTGTTAAATCTGCTCACTTAATTAATTACCTAAGCACAATAATAACTAAAGTATCTTTATTGTGACATGTGCAAAAAACATTTATCGCTGTTTTGATGTTTATTGAAATCCTTTTGTTTGTTAAAATATATATTATCTTTAAAGGCCTCGGCGGGAATAAATGAGCACAAGAGCATAAAAAAGTTCTCCTAAAACAAACTCGGGGAGCTGTGCGAGCTGCTCATTTAAATTGGCGCTCTTTTTTAATTTTTTTTTTTTTTTTTTGCAGCAACCGTGCTTTTTAAAAAGCATTGCAGTATATTATGCAATTAATTTTTTTTTTAAATGACATAGTGTTTTTTATTTTAGTTACAACAATAGTTATACTTTCGTAAGAAAAATTATACTTTTGCGAGAGCCGTAAATTGCTCCCGTAAACCATTTTAGGGGAGTGTAGGCGATAGCGAGAGCTAAAGCTCTCGTTTACTGCCAAGCTCTGTCTTTGTTTATGCTATGTATATAACATAGAAATTATTCATTTTAGAAATTTGGAAAAGGTTTAAAAAAAAAATTGATGTTTAAGCGACAGGATTTGAACCCTTGCGTTTTACTTCAGAAGCGCAGTAAGCTAACCACTTCGGCCAATAAGGCACACTAATCTGTCAAGTTTTAATACTATTTATTCAATGAAAGAGAGAATAACTTTATAAGACAGCAAATTATTGCTATTAATCAAAATTAAAGAGATATTGCCGCAATGGAACTTTTAAGTAAAAGTAAAATTATAAAACTTGATATATGTTTTAACATTACATAATTTGGAGTTTACATAAGTTAGATATTTAGTGCATACACTTTCGTTCACATTTTTTTATAAAAAAGTGTTGCAACTCTTACTCACCACTAACTTGGGTGTAATGGCTGCCATGAGTTCTGTGCTAAACGCACAAATGAGTAATGGCAGCAGGAACAGTAGCATTAAATTCGATATTAAAGTTAGGGGTGCACCGATGTCTACTTTTAGCCGATGTCGATGGATACATGCCAATGTCGATGCATCGGCATCGGCCTTGATATTGGATATATGATGGAAATATACACTTGAATGGAAATGCCACCTTCCATTCATGTGACAATGAAAGCAATATTTTAAAATTGTTACTGTTAAAGTTTATTTTCCATTTTTTTTTTTTTGTTGTTCTCTTGATAATTAAAGCAATTACTTCAATTGAAAAGCTCATTTTATAAATACTTATTTTCGTCATTCTGTTAAATTAAAACGATTTTGTTTTTTATAAAGAATGAATGGAAGATTTTGATATCGTTACTTCTAATAATTTGTATGTTTTTAGCAAATGTTTTTACGAAATTAAATTATAAATCAATACTTATATTACAGGGCCAACGACATCAGGGGGGGGGGGGGGGGCAGGTGGCACATGCCCCCCCCCTCCCACACACACACACTTTGTTTCTTAAGGACCTTTTTTTTTCTTTAAATATAAGAAAGTTCTAGATATAGACGACTTTTTTAAAAATTGACAATTGTACCTCCCCCACACTTAGAAACCCGTGTCATTGGCCCTCTATTTATTAAAATTAACTTTAATGTAAATGAAATGAAACATTTTGATTGTAAAGAATAACAGAAAGAGTTTCAAAAAAATCTTTGTTTAAAGCAATTTTCTCTTTATAATTTATAATTATTTAATAAAAATTTTTTTTATAAATTATAAGAAAACAATTAAAAAGTAGGGAACCCTGTTAAAAGCAGTTCAAAAATTTTTAGTTTAGTGGTTACATATATGCCTATATAAAACTTATTATATAGTGTAAGGTTGACAATATTGTACCCTCTAAGAATAAAGTCAAAAATAGAGAAAAAATATAAAATAGAAACAAGAGACTTTATTGTATTTTATAATTTGGGGAAAAACTTTTCTAAAAAAGTTGAAATATGTCAAAATTTAAATGTTGGTGTCTGATAGGGAACTAAATTTAAAAAGATATGCTGTCCGTACAATTAAGGAAACAAAGAAAATAAAAATTTACAAACAAAAAACAAAGCTCGTCCAAATTTGAATAAGATGTTATATTAATACATTTTTCAGGTGAAATTTAAATTATAGTTTAACAATATGATCTGTTCTGATTGTTTATTAGCAATTTTACATAATTATAAGCTCTTTCTTGGTCGGGATTCTAGTATTTTTTGTGAAAACTAATAGAAATATTGTGTTTTGACAACTATATAATATATAGTTGTCAAAACACAATATTTCTATATATAATATATAGTTAATATACGTCAGAACCAATTAGAACTAGAATCATAGTAAATTAAGGAACTTTTTCAAAAGATTTTAACTAACTTTTTCAAAAGATTTTAACTAAATTTAAAATAATTTTATATCAAAACTCCTTCTTGTTTACAATCCTATTGTATACATAAGTTTTCACATATATCTATCACATAAATTTTCTATCTTTTAAAAATACCTCTATTGTTCAATCTTTTTCAAACTCATTATTTTTATTTGTTTACTGTAAATTTTCTTTATGCTTAAAAAATTTATTTATCTAGGTTTTCTTTTCCTTAAGCATCAATATTTGAACTTAACTCTTGACATTTTTTCTTTACTTTTTAGTAACTTAAATGTTGGTTTACTTCTTTTTGGAAGTAAATTTGTGAAGAAAAAAAAGGAATAATTAATATTTTAGCAGCTGAAAACAATATTAGATTAAAAAAAAATTTCAAAATTATCACTTAAATTAAATTTTTTTTTGTAGAAATTTTTGTTAAAATCAATGAGCAACTGTTAACTTATAATAACTTGATTGCAAGATTGCCATGGCTAGAGAATGCATATTCAATTTCTTTCAAGTTTAATCCCAGATCATACCCAATTGGGTCTAATAGTGTTATTCATTTGAGTCTGGGAAATGATCTTCATCAGTATGGTGATAGAAATCCTGGTGTATGGTTTTTAGGTGTGGGTCCAGGAGCATTGCAGATATTTTCTCCTGTCAATGGTCATGGTGATTACATAACTGTAATCGATTCACTACCACTCAATATGTGGTCAAGTATACGCATATCACAAATTCGTGTTAATGGAGTTTACATATATTCAGTAAATTTTAATGGAAAAACTATTAGAAACGTTGAAAATACAATGCCACAATCATTCCAAAACCCTTTTTTATATGCTGCAAATCCATGGTATGAGCCTGCTGATGGTTTTATTAAAGATTTGAGAATAATAAATGATGGGTCTGTTGGAAAAAACAATGGACATATCAGTAAGTATACTTTTTAATGTTTTACTTGATATTTTTAATTTTTACTTAGTATTGTTGATTAAAAATAAATCTTATAGTTGTTGTTACCTATTCTTGTATAAACATATGTACACAAAATACAATTGTTTTAAAGAATGTTGAACTAAGTGTTTTTATCCAATTTCGATTTTAAACTTTAAATTTTTTGCTTTTATTATAAAATGAGTTTGCGTTGAAAAAAAACTAAAAATATCTCATAATAAATAAATACTTTTTTAGTTTTTAAGTTATTGGTGTACCAACAATTGGGTCATTCAATGTTCAGTGAATAATAAGTGATAACAGAAGTTATAACAAAAATACAATTATATATAGAAAACATTTTCTTTTGTTACCGGTCATTGATTTGTAATTTTTATTCTAAAAATTTTATTTTCAAATTTGTTAAATGATATATAAGTACACGGATCTTTTCTAATATATGTTACATTATTCTTACATATTTTCTTATCTTTTTATAGTTAGTTATGTTAATATATATATATATATATATATATATATATATATATATATATATTTTTTTTTTTTTTTCCAAAAGTATTTATATACTTTAATGTTTACTTTAATTGTATAATAATAAAGTGACCAGCCGTACTTTTTTTCTGAAAGACAGTTTGCTAAACTACAGGACAGTCAATAATACTAAAACTAGCAAAAGGCAACCCGTAATACGGGTTTTGGTCAGTCTGTTACATAATTAATTTATAGAGGCTGTTTTCCACAATTTAATGTTGCAAAACCATAACTAATACCCTTTTAGAAAATCGCCTTCAGCTTGAAAAAATTAATCCATCTGTAAAATTAACATAAAAATTATGAGGAGGTAAAATAATTTACCAACTACTACTTAACATTTACAAATACTACTTAACATTATTTAAGTAATTTACAAATGGCATAGGTCATAACAGTGTATGGCAGAACCATTTTCATCGACCTTCCTAAGTTTAACACAATACGTTTTTAGTTACTGACACAAAATAATAACACTTGGTCATGCTTTAAATTGACGAAAGTGTCAACTAAATCCTTGTAATAATTTTTATAACACGAACCATTAAGATTAAAATGAAGTTAACTTATATTATACAGGAGTTATCAATTTTTTGATATCCCCTTGATTAATTGTTCTTTAGAAAAGAAAATTGTTAACTTAAAAATGTTAAATGCACGCATTTAAATAAATTAATAAAGAATAACAAAGTTTATTATAACTACGCAACTGAGTACAAATACCTTTCAAACAAAAAAAATTTAATTTACGATTAAACATGGGTATAACAAATTTTTTAATACATTAATGCATCATATGACAAGCTAAAATAAAAATTATAAGAGATAAGTAGACATAAAAATTTGTTAACCAAGCTGACCCGACCCGGGTCTTGTTAAGTCTGTTCAACAAAGACCATTTCTATATTATTTGTTTAGCCTCTTTATTTCATTAAATTTTTAGTAAACGGTAATTTGCCACCATTTACTAAAAATTCCTTTTGTAACTCGAAATTTTATTTTCCTAAATATTTTGACTCTAATAAAGAGGTTCCTTCCCTCTCTTTGCTTTAATGGTGGCCAGGTGAGTAAAATAAAATAATAAAATGTAAAACAATGATCTACTTATATAAGAATGTTTTCTTTCTTTCCTCAAAAGTGTTGCAAATACAGACTAAGCTAACTAATTACACCATGTAACAACATTTTTGTTTATGTTAATTTTTTAATGTTTCTTACATAATTTTTGTATGCTGATTTCAGTGGTACCATTGGTTTTTCTCTATCATCAAGATTTCCTGAGAAAAAGCATATTTCGGAGTTTTCGTATATGTGTAATGCAATTAAAACATTATATATATATGCTGATTTTAACTATATTCGTGTGTTTATTTTCAGTTTAACTAATTACAACTGTTACATGAAGTAGTGAATATGTCTAGTAGATCCTGCAAGCTTTGTCCTGACTCATTCTGTTATGTTTGTGGTTACTATATTAGTCCAACACAAGCTAAACATAAGATTGTCAGTGGTACAAAATTCTTTACTGCATATCATGCTTATTTTGGCATGGCTATGGGAGATCAGGACAAATCGTGGGCACCACACTACAGTTGTGGTAGCTGCAGATCAACTCTGGAAGGATGGCTGCGTGGAATCCGAAAGTCAATGCCCTTTGCGATTCCGAGAATATGGAGAGAACCGACGAACCATCATGATGACTGCTTTTTCTGCATTGTTGACATTTCAAAGTATAAAAAACCGAAAGATAGGCTGACTCTAGTTTATCCAAGTATACCATCTTCTATTGGACCAGTTCCACACAGTGATGAATTGCCTGTTCCTACTCCACCTCAATCCGAAGAAGCAGCTGCATATCATTCTGAAGTAGACTCACCGGATGAACTCAATGATGACTGTGATTTCAGGGAACCGAATGATTCACCTCATTTCCCTAACCAACAAGAACTTGATGACTTAGTACGAGATTTAGGTCTCACTAAATCAAATGCAGAACTTCTGACATCACGTTTGAAAGAATGGAATTTATTAGATCCAAGCTGCAGAACCTCGAAATACCGAAAAAGACATGAAACATTTGCATACTTTTATGTAGTATCAGAATCACTATGCTATTGTCATGACGTTCGTGGTCTTTTCAATGACATTGGCATTGTTCACAATCCTGAAGAGTGGAGATTATTCATTGACAGCTCAACAAGAAGTCTAAAGGCAGTTTTGCTCCATAACGGAAACCGATTTCCTTCGATTCCAGTAGCTCATTCCGTTCATCTAAAGGAAGACTATAAGAACGTGAAGTTGTTGCTTGAGAAAATCAACTACGACAGTTACAAGTGGGATGTATGTGGAGACTTTAAGATGCTAGCATTTCTTCTCGGTCTGCAAGGAGGATACACAAAGTACTCGTGTTTTCTTTGTTTATGGGATAGCAGGGCTGCAAACCAGCACTTCACAAGACATGAGTGGCCAGTGAGAGAACATTTACAGCCTGGTTCGCACAATGTTATTAATCAATCTCTGATACCTGTTGAAAAGATCTTACTACCACCCCTTCACATTAAACTTGGTCTTATCAAACAATTTGTCAAAGCATTAAACCCAGATAGTGCAGCATTCCAGCATATTCGGCAGATGTTTCCAAAGGTGTCAGATGCAAAAATTTCAGCAGGTATATTCGTTGGTCCACAGATTATAGTTATGTTGGCATGTAAGGAGCTTGAGGACAAAATGTCTGCTGTTGAAAAAGAAGCATGGACTGCATTTAGACATGTTGTTCATAGCTTTTTAGGCAACAATAAGAGTGATAACTACAAAGAGATAGTGGAAAACTTAATTGTACGGTACGCAGATATGAAATGCAGAATGTCAATAAAGCTGCATTACCTGCATTCACACTTGGAATTTTTCAGACCAAATTTGGGTGATGTGAGTGAAGAGCACGGGGAACGTTTCCATCAGGATATTCTTGCAATGGAGAAAAGATACCAGGGCAGATGGGATGCAGCTATGATGGGTGACTACATCTGGTGTTTGATACGCGATGACGAGAAACTTAATAAAAGAAAACCTCGTTCTACTGTTCACTTTTAGTGTTTTTTGAGATTGTGAGAGACTGTTACAATACAATATAATGTAACATTATGTAATATATGTAAGAAACATGATGTAACATGAAGTTTTGTAACATAACATAACACTTTTGAATTAGTAAATGTTTTATATTGACTAAAGTAGAGTCTAATGCAAAACGATTTATATTAATTATATGTTTAATTGATTTTTTGGTTTTACGAACAAACGATTGATGCAATAAAAAATCCAATGTCATATTCAGACTCAGCATACTCAAATTAATTAAGAAACATCAAAATTTTGATAAACAGAAATTTTTTTTTTTTTTGTTACATTGTGTTAGTTAAACACATAAATAAAACTTAAGTAACTCGATAGTAATGCGCAAAACTACAATATTCTCCATATTTTTAAAGGTTTTTAGTTACGACCTCCCATTTACAAAGATCCCCTTAAAATACGTATAACAAATTATTAGGCATACTAATAGCATATATTTATATCTTTTTAACTAACAAAAATTTACAATAAAAAGAAATCAGGTTTTTTTATTTTATAAATCTCATAAATGCGTCATAACGTAATTCTAAAATAAAAAAGTAATGAAATTATGATATCATAATTACGAAGAAAAAAAACCAACAGAAACCACCACACAATTACCAAAAATCGATTTACCTATTTATAGTAACCTATTTTGAAATTGCAGTTAAAGATTCATCAAAAATGTAACTATAAAACCTGTTTCGAAGTACCAAAGCATTAACAATACTAAAAAAAAAATCAAACTAAGATATAAATTGTTGTTTTGGCTTTTATAATTTAAACATATATATAACTATAAACAAATATGACTTTATGCAACACGTATAAACACATTTTACAACTATTGAATGATAGATATATTTACCAAAAAATATGAAAAAATAAATAAATAATGATAAATAAAGTTATACATACAAAATGTGCTCACAACCTTTAACATTAAATTTTAGAAATGAAAATCTAAAGACTATAAATTAAAAAATTTAAAAAATATAACAATATTTATGATACTTTTTTTTACCTACTATACCTTGAATAAGATGGTTATTAATTTTGAAAAACAAACTATTAAATGCTATAGTTCTTGAAAATGCAGTATATAGTTGACCATGAGAGAAACACACTTTGAGATATTTCTTTTGTCTATGTTTAATTTCGCGTTACGTATTATATAGACGATCCCTAAGAGAAAATACTTGAAACTAAAAAGATTTTATTTATTACAATATTTGAACAACCAAGGGACAATTTAAAGAATTATATCTTTAAATAGCAAATTATCAATTGCAGTATTAAAAAATACGCAAGAGCTTAGTAATTACAGAGTTTAATCAGAGCTCAGTAATTACAGAGTTTAATCAATTCTCTCTCTACAATTCTCAATACTAATTCTTATTTAAGTCTCATCTAAGAGAGAGAGGAAGTGTTTTAAAAACACCATGTTAGAAAAAGTAAAAAAGTCATGCAATAAATAACAGTAACTGGTTTTATTATGCTACCAATTTACCAAAAGGTAATTTCCAGCATTTCTTAATTAATTTCCAGCTTCTCTCTAACTGTTGACAAATGATTAATATTGTAAATTTCACATCATATTAAATTTACAAAATTAAAACCATGTTTCAACAGTAAGCAAAATAATCAAGTGATGATAAAGACAACTAAAAATAAATGAACACAATTATGTTTAAGATTGCAAAAAAAAAAAAAAAAAAAAAAAAAAAAATCATTTAAAATTGAAACTGTTATTATTTGTTACTATAAATAGTAAAATTCATACTTTGCTTTATTTTAAAGTGTCTAATGTAAAGTCAAATAATAGACATCAACACCGCTTGACACTGAATTCTGTCAAGTAAGTTTTTGGTTCATCAAGCAAAATTTCTTATATTTCAACCACAATTAATTTTATCACGCCTAGATTTATTTCTTACATATGACAACAATTTCAAGTCACCTATAATCATTTACACTAATAACTTCTTCAAGCCTAATATTATACATCTGTTATCATTAAATATATATTACCAGTGATTATACTACTGTTACAACTGAATAAATGAACGTTTTATATTTTTACAACTGAAAAATATAAAACAAAATTTATTGACATTATTTTAATTTAGCAAAGAATTTAGAACACAGTGCAAAGCTATTTGCATTGTGTTCTATATTCTTTGCTAAATTAAGAAAGCCTTCAGGCACAATCTTAATGCACAAAAATAATAAATGCAGAATCTTGTATAAAAAATGAATCAATGTCAGTCTAAAGTAATATATATGTATGTATATATATTCAAATTTTTTCTATTCTTAATTTTTTCTTTGAGATAATATTCATATAGATTCAGAAAAATATAAAATATTCTGATATATAGGCACATTTATGTATATAAACTTACCTGTCAAAAATTACAGTCAGTTTTTCATGTTAAATACATAAAATATATATCTAATATAAAATTAAACAAAACATTAAACTTACTCAAATTAGTAACAGTTCGACTGTCTAAATATTTTTATTATTAACCCTTCTATTTAAAAAAAAGAAACAAATGATTTGAAGTGACTAAAAAGCACTTTAGCTCTTTCCAATTGCACTAAAAAATATAATAAATCTTGTTTCGCTAAGTTGCCTAGTTCTTAAGAATCTGAAAACAAATAAGTAAAAAACCAAGAACAAACAAACATTTATTTACTAAAACTACTCTATTTAAACAAATTAAATTAAACAGAGAACAACATTGATACTCCTTGAAAGCTGAAAAACTTTTTATCTCAAATTTGCTTGTAGACTTTGCTTATGAAACCACTTGAATAAGAAAAGCATTAAAAAAGCCTAGAAGCTACTTAAAAATGGTATATGCAACATTGAACTTTAAATGTTGATTGGTGTAGATATTTTTAAAAAATTCAAATGATTTGTTCTTCTATAGCAAATGAATACACCATAAATCTGAAGTTAAAAATGTAACGAATAAATACAAGAAAAACATCATATGTGAATTGAAAATCAATGTACCTGATAGAGATAAGCTGTGGTGATACCTGAGTAGTATCACCACATACACGTATTTATCAAAAAAATTTTAACTTTGATCATAATATACATGCAAACATATATGCAAACTTTTAACAACTATAAAACAACATTTATTAGCATCAATTATTTTAAATGTAACAAAGAATGCAGACTACAATGCACGACATTGTTAATAAAAATGAAGTTATGTCAGTTAGTATATGTTTATCTAAAGTAGTGAAAAAGAATAAACCATTTAAAAACAAAATTAAAAATTTCTAATGAATATATATTTAGATACCTTAAAATGAAGCATAACACAACACTCTTTTGACAAATTCCAGAGCAAATTTTCTAAATTTTTCTATTCCTTATTATTTTTCCTTAGAGAAAATATACATATAGATATAGAGAAATATAAAATAGACTGAAATAAACGCAAACTTATGTATATAAACTTACATGACCACAAATAACAGTCTTATTTTATTTAACTTTTCATATTAAATACATAAATAAAATTTTATTCTCATTATTCTTTCTATATAAAAAAAATCTTAGCCTATGTATGAGAAAATGAAATAAACTTACTAAAAAAGCGATCATTTCGTCTTAACTGCCCTAAAAAATAAAGCAAATACTTGCTTAAAATATTTTAAAAAGACAAATGACAAAACTGAAACAGTTTTCTTAAAAAAGAAACATTGTACTAATAAAACTATTTTACCAGTCAATTTAGTTCTAACTTCTTCTAAAAAATGAAAAATAAATACATAATTAGATACCTTAAAATGAAGCATAACACAACATTCTTTTGACAAATTCCAGAAGAATTTTTTTTATTTTTCTATTCTGAATAACTTTTGCTAAGAGAAAATTTACATATAGTATAGATATAGAGAAAAATAAAATAGACTAAAATAAATGCAAACTTATGTATATAAGCTTACATGAACACAAATAACAGTCTTATTTTATTTAACTTTTCATATTAAATACATATATAAAACTTTATTTTATATATAATTCTTTTTGCAAAAAACAATCTTTATCTATAAATAAGAAAACAAATTGAACTTACTAAAAAAACCATCAGCTTCTCTTAACTGCTCTAAAAAATAAAACAATACTTGCTTAAAATGTTCTAAAAAGACTAACGACAAAATGAAACAGTTTACTAAAAAAGAAACATTTTACTAAAAAAACTATTTTACCAAACATTTTAGTTCTAACTTCTTCTAAAAAATAAAAACAGACTATAAAAATTAGAAAAAATAAAAATAAGCAACAACAAACTAAAAATTAAATTTTTATTTAAAAAAATAAACAATAATTCTTTTTGAAAATAAGTGCATCAGCTCCTATTTGCTTGCTGATTTTACTCGAAAGACCGCATGGAATATATAACTGCGCTTAGAAAAGTCTAGAAACAACTTCAAAACTAAAGAAATAGTGTATTTTACATAATGCAGAACCGTAATTAACAAAACGAACAATAGGCGTAACAATGCGTAATTATGCGCACTAATAATAATAATAATAATAATATTCATTCGGCAATTCATTATAGAGATTTAATCATGGCAGCAAACTTTAAAATTAAGAACTAAATGTAATTTACAACTAGAAAAATATATTTTAGCAAGCGCTTCTTCATAAAAGAGTACAGCCTGGTCACTTTAATAATAATATCAATTATATAATTTGTTAACATACTTCTAGACATACTTAACCGTCGGATTTAGGAAAAATTTGAGGTCAGCATTAGGTTGGTAAAAAAAAATTTGACACAAAGTGGTTGCCCTAAACATAGCAAAAAGGTCAGAGATTTTTTGCGAATCTCAAACAATTTTAGGTCTGTATTGCCAAATGCTGACCATAATTTTGAGGGCTTCATACTCACATACTCTGCATTTAAAAACAAAAGTTTTAATTTTAAAATTACAATTAAAAACTTTTTTTAATAGATTTTTTTGACCAAGTCAAAGATCGTCTGTTGGTATTTAATAACTTGATAACAACATTGCCATGGTTAGAAAAAACATTTTCAATTTCCTTTAAACTTAAACCTGGGTCATATCCAAGCACTTCTGGAAATGTTATTCATTTAACTACCTGGGAAAATGTTGGCCAATATGGGGAAAGATGTCCTTGTATATGGTATCGCAATGATGGATATTTGATTATTTCTACTGCAATTAGTGGATATGGTGACTTTTATTTGCCTCAGACCAAGATGTTACCACTGAATGTGTGGTCAAGCATACGATTATCACAAACTCAAATTAATGGAGTTTATACATTTTTTTTGCTTGTAAATGGAACAGTTATTTATAGCGTAGTAAATACTTATCCTCAATCTTTCAGAAATGTTCGAGTGTATGCAGCAGATCCCTGGCATTCTGTCCAAAATGGTTTTATTAAAGAATTTACCATTATTAATGGATATAATAGTAAGCTTTTCATATGTTTAAAAAATATATTTAGTTTTTTTAAAAATAAATCAAATTTTTGTTCAATATTTTTTGTAGATACTATATCTAATACAATATTGTAAATTTGTTTTCAAATTGTTGAGTTTTAAATTTAAATAAAATTTTTTTGTTAAAAATTGTTTGAAATTATAAATATTAAAACAACTTGCATTTATAGACATAATGTTTGATATGAATGAAGAGAAAACATTTTTTGAAAGAATATTATTAACAATTTTTATAACCTTATTAAAACATTTAAAAGCTTTCAAAAAATCCAGCATCTAACTTTTTGTAATAAATAAAGCATAGCATCCAACTCTTGTAATAAATCCAGCACAGCATCCAATTTCTGTAATAAATCCAATTGTAAAAAATATTTAAAAGCAATTTCTTAAAATTTCTAGGTGCTAGAAATATTTAGCTTTTTTAATTCTATCAAATAATTTAATATTTAAGATATCTAAATCTTTTATTATATTGAATTATGCATAAAAAAGGATGTCCACCAAAGTTTTTTTCATTCAGACTTTATAGAAGAACTCAATGAGCATGAGTTGAACAAAGACAAGTTGATTGCAAGATTATCATCATTGGAGAAAGAATACTCAATTTCTTTTAAAATAAAACCTAGATTATATTCAAATGATTGGAAAAATGTGATTCACTTAACTACTGGACAAAATTCTGGGCAATCAGGAGGTTTTGCAGTGTGGTTTTATAACGATAGTTCTGGGAGTTTGTATATTTCTTCAGCTGTTAATGGAAATAATGATTATGCTGTCAAGACCCAGCCTCTGCCCCTGAACCAGTGGTCATTTATAAAAGTATCACAGTATGAAATTAATAGAGTTTACACTTATGCTATATATTTAAATGAAATTATGATTCATACCATTGAAAATAAAATTCCTCTTTCTTTTAAATATGTTGATGTATATACTGCAGATCCATGGCATGATGCACAGAATGGATCCATTAAAGATCTCAGAATCATAAATGGTAATATTGGTAAGTGTATGTAGTTTTAAGATTTGTATTGTTAATAGATATATTGCTAATTATTATGTTGTAATTATGTATTACAACATTATGTTGGATTATATATCAAGTTAATTATTTTGTTTAAAAAGTTTAGGCAATTTTAAATCTAAAACAAGCAGAAAATTTTTGTAGGCCAGTCTTGTACTCCTTTTTTATCAATAGACATGCCTTACATTATTTCCGTCTTTGGATGATGAACATTGAATCATCTTCATTTCTGTGTTGTTTCTCATCTATATTAATGATCTTCCAAATAATCTTACGTGGCTCTCTTTGCTAGATGATCTTGAATGTAATCTCTCTTCTAAGACAGCATGATGCTCCTATTTTCTTACTCCTCATTTCATTCTATAAATCTCTTATTCATCCTTTTTTATTCATTCTTATTTATATGGAATACTGTTGTCTTGATCAATCCAAAAAACTCAATTTGTTTTAACACAAAAAACTTTTGTTCTACATAAACTTAATCTCATTCAAGTCATCACTTAGCAAAGTTGTATCCTTATGTTCTACCATGCTCAAAAAACCTTTTTAAACCTTGTTTTTTTACCTCAAAACAATACTTTAGAAGTCCTGTCTTCATGTTTTCCTCACTTGTGCAGTTTACAGTTTTCTTTTCTACAGTTTACAGTTTTCTTTTCTACAGTTTACAGTTCACTCATGCAGTTTACATCTCTCAACTGTTTTCATGATATTTAACTTTCTTCTTTGCTTTCTGTTAACTACCAACTTACATAATATTGTTTGCAGCCTTTTTGGAAGTAAATTTGTTATTAAAAATATATATTTAATTGTATAATTTTGTCTCAAAATTGTCCAATTAAATATTAAGTCATTTGTAGTCCAGTTCAAAACCATTTGTGCAGTTGCATCAGTAGTGAAGCCCCAAAAACCTTTGATATTGGCAAAAAAACATTTATTGGGATATGGTCTGTTTCAAACAAATGATACCAAGCATCCTTGATAATACCAAGCATCCTTGATAAAGCTCAGATAAAAAAATAAAAATGCTTTCAGGTTTAAAAGAAGAAGAGTAAAGTTGAAAGTTTGTATTGAAAGTAAATTCCTCCAAAAAAAAATTATTTCCTAGAAAACCTTTTTTTATTTCTTGGAAAACCTTTTTTTATTTCTTGGAAAACTTTTTTTTATTTCTTGGAAAACATTTTTTTATTTCTTGGAAAACATTTTTTTTACTTCTTGGAAAACCTTTTTTTATTTCTTGGAAAACCTTTTTTTATTTCTTGGAAAACCTTTTTTTATTTCTTGGAAAACCTTTTTGGTTTGTCCTTCTCTAGAAGTAGAGTATTTTTTTTTCTTCTCTCAGAAACTTTCCCTCAGTGTGTTGTGTTGTTATTTTTTGTCATCTTTTCATTCCAGTGAAGAGCAACGAGCTGACGCTTCAGCTGTTAAAACTCATTTATAACTGGCTCAAATAATAGACTGATTTTCTTTTCTGCTCTCCATACTTTAATGAGATAAAAGTAAAGTATTAAGATTATTTTTGCCATCGTTTGCTTTTTTGAGTTTGTTTTTAATTATATTCAAATACATTCTTCTTCATTAACTAATAAAGGATGTTAAGCAGAGCTTTAGGCCTTTTCAAGAATGATAGAATCAAGAATGTAGCATCATTCTTAAACATTACATGAAATTATCAACATGATATCTTGCTAGGGGGAGGGGGAATAAAAATGTCCATGTCAGCATGAAACATAATTGTATTGTACAATTAATAAAGCATTCCTCGATTTGACTAGTAAGTTGTCTTTTGACCATTGTGGTTGCATCAAAAAAAGAATTCATTCTAGCATTATTGAACATAATACTAAAGTAAAACTGAACAATTTTTTTAATAATTCAGTAAAAAATGTTGCTGTTTTCTAACTTTCAAAATATTTATTCCTTCTTTCATGAGCCAGTAATTTGTTACAAAATTGGTTTTCATCCACTACTAGCTGATTTTTAACAACATACATAAGTTCTGAAACTGATTAAAAAAATTTGAATCATTAGTTTTGATATTTTTATTACACTGTAAAAAATGTTACGCTAAATTGTCTAATAAAATTTCCATGTCATGAAGCCCGATTTAACACGCGACATTAAGAGTTTAAATTGTCACGCAACTTTTAGATATTAGGTTTGGCGTGACATATATAAATAAATTAGTCACGCGACTTTTAGCAATTATGTATGGTGTGACATTTATTATTAAATTTGTCATGCGACTTTTTAAAAATAAGTATGGCGTGACATTTTAGTTTTTTATTTTATTTTTTTTTTATTTTTTTTATTTTATTTTAATTCACTTCCTCAAGGCCGAGAAGGCCACTACAGACGAGGAGGCTACTTATTTGTGGCTATAACCCTCTCTCAACTCTATAACTCTGAAACACGAACCTTGACGAACAAGGCCGCTGCGCGGAGAAACGCATAACTCACTTTATTTAAATAAAATAAATAAAAAGACCAAAGAAATAGTAAAAATCATATTTTATTTTTTTAAAAAGAAACCATCAAATATAAATATTTAGTTTTAAATTGTCTTTATGTTTTAATTCGCAAAGAATTGAACAGTTTATAGCGAAGAGCTGAACAGTTTCAAAATACAAAGATATCATAAAAACTTTTACAAAAATTTGCATTTTTTTAGCCAAAACCTATTAGTAGAAGCAAATGGTATTTGCAAGACATAATGCTGCAACAGCCCTAAAACTTCCCTAAACGATCTTGGGTACAACAGGTCCATAATATAATAATAGGCAATAAGTTGAAGCACATGTAGGGAATCATTATGCAGATGACCCATCGCAATTACTTTCCCTTAGTCAACAAATGTTATGTTTTCTTCTAAAATAAGTTGCGACCCAGGAGAAGAGATATTATCTTCAGACCAAAAATTTGTTAAAAAGTGAAATTAAGTTAATCTGTCTTATAACATAACATTACAAAAATAAATATTAAATTATAAAATAAATTAAGAATCAACGATACGTTAAATTTACACTAGCAATAACAATTGGACACAACACTCCTCTTCTGGTAGTGTGCTTATGAAATTGTATTAGGGCAGGTGCAATATCTAAACCAGGATACAACTTTTGAACAACTTGCAATACCCTATATAATGCTGCTTCTTTAGTAACTATGCTTATTCTTTCAAATTCGTCCATGATCTAAAATTTTAACCCATATAACTTTTTGTTAAAAATGCGCAAAATACAAACTTATTTAATAAATAACAAAAAACTTCATACTCATAAAAGTTAAATGTGGTTAAACACACACACACACACACACACACACACACACACACATATGAGCTATCGTTTATTCCAGAGATGTTTAGCATGAGCTATCGTTTGATTCCAGAATGAGCTATCGTTTGATTCCAGAAATGAGCTATCGTTTATTCCAGAGATGTATAGCATTTTGTTAGTATTTTTTACCTCAATCAAACTTTTTAAACGATGCTCGCGTCGCTTCTGAATTACATATATATTAAAAATATATATATATTAAAAATATATATATATATATATATATTAAATATATATATATATATATATATATATATATATATATATATATATATATATATATATATATATATTTGTGTGTGTGTGTGTGTGTGTGTACACACAAATATATATATATATATATATATATATATATATATATATATATATATATATATATATATATATATATATATATATATATATATATATATGCATTCATGTGTTCAAACTGATTTTGATAAATTTTTTGAACTGCACCCTTTTAACTAAAAGTGATTCATATACCCATATTATTGTCAATGTGTCAATATTATAAGTATTCTTTGCTTACAATTTCTGGATGGAATAGGTGCTCTTTTTGTTCTGAATATGGCAGAGAACACTGTTCCTAACCAAACAACGAATTATATGAATATCAGGAACTCTTTGTACCAAAGCAAATTAACATATAAAGAAATAGCATTAAGTCTAAAGTAAACCTTATTAAATTCTTACTGTACATATTAGGTAACAATAATTTTTATTTAAAATATACTGGTTAAACACATTTCTTATAAAAAAAGGTTTCATGGTTATCACCTGTATCTTCATAAAATGGTTATCACCTGTATCTTCATAAAATGAGCTATCGTTTATTCCAGAGATGTTTAGCATTTTGTTAGTATTTTTTACCTCAATCAAACTTTTTAAACGATGCTCGCGTCGCTTCTGAATTACATTTGAAACACGCTTTACAACTCCACCCTAAAAAGCAAAATTTATCATTTAAATAATATCTAGTGTTGTGAAACACATAGATGTGTTACACAAAACATGCATAAAAACATATGAATATTAAAAAAAACCAAATCTATATCAATTTGAACTTAATTTTACCTTTATTTGGAGTAAATATCCATAACTTATGTTCTACTTAATTAAACATTTTATAAAATTAATGTTGTGAACTATTTATTGGTTTTTATAATTTATTTTTGGGTATTTATTTCACTAATGTTTTACTGAAAATTTAAAAACATTAAAGTTCAAACCCTCTTTTTTAAAAATACAGTTTGGATATGACTGTTTCAAAAGGACAGTTGCACAATGATAGAACTTTTTTCTTATTGAAGGGTTTCCCTCGGGAAGACCTTCGAGGTCCGATGTGCGTGTTCCCTTCGAAGTGATGTGCCAGCTCACTACAAATGTCTTTTAAAGTATGCTTACGGCAAGGCATCAAACCATTTAAATATTTGCTTCATTCCATTGTAAAGATAAATAACTAGTATTAAAAAGTTATATATTATAATATACATATATATATATATATATATATATATATATATATATATATATATATATATATATATATATATATATATATATATATATGAAATGAATAAAAACAACTTTTGATGGCCATCAAAAGTTGTTTTTATTCATTTAATATAAATAAATAAATAT